ACTTAACTGCGTTTAGTACTGTAATTGCATCATCATTATTCATTATCATGTGTGAATGATAATCTAGAGCCCTTCTATTCATTCAAAACATATTATGTATGAACTCGGATTGTGATTTGAGAAACGCTCTTTTTATCGTATCGTATGTATAAAGAAGTGTGTGACTTGTTACTTTAACTATAGCTTGCAAAATATTTCACTTAATAAATGAATATTCATATGTAAGTTTTCTCATGTACTATACGTGTATATACTTGTATGTATGCATGTATGTATGCATAACTGCCACTCGTTGTTTTTCTATAAATCTATTTGAAATGCAACTTTTGCGCTAACGCATAAATCTCCAGCACAAATGGCAAACAGCAAGCGGGCTTCAGCTTGAAGACCCAAGTCTCTAGTTCCCCTCTCAGTCCCCCCCCACCCCCTCACCACCTCACCAGTGCCCCACTCGTCGATGTAGAAGGCAGCAAAGCGTAGCTGCGAACGGCAGAAGCATATGTTGTGCTTTTCTCTATATATGTATATACTTAGTGCATATAGATGTGTATATATTGTTGCAACATCAGTCAGGATTAGTTGTAGAAACTTGCTGCTTGCTTGCCATGCTGTAACCGTCACGCTGCGTGCTCACGCATGCCCCACCCGACCCCGCCAGCTTCCACCACCACCACCCAGCCATGCACCCATTCATTCATCCATCCATACTGCCATCCATGCTGCCATCCATGCTGCCTTGTGGCTGTTGTTAGCCTTGTCCTTGTTGTCTTGTCAGTTGCTGTTCCTGCTCCTGCCCCTGCCCCTGCCACTGATGCTCCTCCTCCTCCTGCTGCTGGCTTGAAGTTTTTCCCCGTTTGTATGTTATAACTTCTGTTGCTTTTGCCTTCACTCCTTCGCCTTCGCTCTTATTTTGCTTCTCTAGCTGGTGCTGGTCCTGGTCCTGGTGCTGCTTCTGGTGTTTGTGTTGCCAGCCGGCTGTTGTGCATGAAAAGTTGCCGGCATTTCGTTTATTTGTTTGTTTGTGTATATTTAAGGCCGTGGGAATTAGTAAGCAATTGCGCAAACTAAGATTTCTTGCTTTTGTTTCTCAAAATCTAAATGCAATTTCTGTCAACTAAATATAATCCAAGCTCAAAGCTCGAATCGAATGATGAAGTTGCGAAAGAACCACGCATCTTTATTAATTACATGAAAATATCACATTAGAAATTAAATATATGTATAAAGGAGTATGTATATAAATCGACAAATACAGTGGACACTCCACTTAGGCAGACACTAATTCTAATTATTTTTGGTGCATCTAAATATCCCCTTGGGGCAGACGAAATTTTTCCCACAAAAAGACATGTCAACTGTCTTGTATATTTATAACTAAGATATTTAAAACAATAACAAAAATTACATCTGGCCAGATGGTGGATGACAGGAAAAAAAAAATAAAAAAATACATTTTTAAACCTCCCTTTTATCTGTTTTTTTTTTAATTTGAAACAAAATTTAACAATTATATATTAATTACATGTTTATTAATAAAATATTAATAATAAATTAATAACATGTGCGAAGTTTGGTTTTTAGAGTTTCAGAATTATGGACAGTATTGACGAAATTGTGTAGCGGGGAGAGGACTGCAAAATAAAAATAAAAACAAAACCCGTGCTGCCTGGGGATAAGTCGAGTCTATATACAAAGTTTGTTCAATGTAGGCTCAACGCTCTCCAATATCCAGGCGTTAATCCAAAGAGAGGGACAATAGACATAGCTGTATCGTTTTCTCGCATCATTCTGATTAAGAATATATATATATATATATATTTTATGAGGTAGGAGATGCTTCCTTCTGCCCTTGCAGAAACTAATATACGCTTTCTACCCGAAGGCTAGAAACTAAATTCAGTTTCTATTTAACAATCAAAGAGAAATTCAGATTCAGAGTAACAACCAAAGAGATTCTTAGCACTAGTTTGTCTTATGAACATTGAACTTATATTGAACTTTCAATCTATGCTTTGATTAACATTTAATTAAATGGCGTGCTAACAATTCAAATATTCAGTGAGGTAATCATACAAATAACTGATAATTAGGCATCTCACAATTAGCATTTCTCTTTTGGCCGACGCTTGTCAACATGAAAAGTTAATTTTGCCCAAAATGCACTCGAAATGCCATTTACTTGAGCTGAATGCTTAAATGGCTTCTTCGTCTTTGCAACAAATTCAAATTGTCATTGATATAACCATATGTTAGTATAGTAATGATAGCCATCTTTGACCGACTTGATTTATATTTTGTTTATTTGTTTGCTGTGAAAATATTTACACAACAACAACAGCAAAGCAACTGCAAAGTGGCCTGGTGCGAGATATTCTACTACAAGTATACGATATTTTCCGCATCTAATTCGACAATTTATTTGTACAGTGAGCTACATTTTAATTAAAAGAGCCATGATTTGGCAAGCAAACGAGAAACTCGATTACTTATCTGTTGCTAGCATTTGTTGTGTAATTTCCATTTGCATTCGTCCTTAAATAATGCGGCTTCTTGATTTCCAATTTTTATTTAGCATCTACTGTCAACTCAGCAGCCACAAATGAAAATCTGTGCACTTTTATTTCCGCCCATTCGAATTCACAGAAATCGATGTAAAAGGTTTCAAGGTTTCAACAACATATGTCTACAAACAAAAATAGAGAGAGAGAAAAAAAACACAATTTGCACACAAGAAAAATTTGCGAATTCTCCGCAAACGGAGAAGCAACAACAATTATCAAAAGTGAATTACAAAAATACTGGTTTCAATGAAGTTGTTGCGCCAAGCTCTGGGGTAATCAGAAACTTTTGTCCTGGCAAGTACAGAATACATGTTCAAGAAAATTTCAACAAAATTTCAATTTTCACCATGTTGAGCAAAATGGCAGAGACACACACACACACACACACACGAACATTTTACCTACCGACAAATGAGAATTACAAAGTTCTATTTTATGCATAGGTGGGGTTGAATTTCAAATCAATTTGTTCGGGTTTAGCAAATTCTGTGTGTGTTTCTGTGTGCCGTGTGGAGCTTATTTAAGCATTTCCAGGTGTATTCGTCCAAATATACTCGTACATACATACAAGTACATATGTATATGAACGTGAATATGTATTACTCGTACTACCTTATCATTGTTCAAATATTGTCATAGGCTAGTCTAAACTAAAAACAAGGCACTCATTTCTGTTTGTCTGTGAGCTTGTTGTTGTTGAAAATTTCATAAAGCTATGCAACACAAAGACCACAGAAAATTGCAAGTTATTGTCGGAAAACTGCAAATCCAGATACATTTTAGGACAGTGAGTGATGGAGATGTAAAGTCAAACTAACAAATATACTGCATATGGAGCACGAAATATTAAAAAATATTATTCCCTCTTTTCATTAGTTCTTAACAAATTGTGTGAAAATGTACTATTTACATTTCTTTATGTATATGGAGTTTCCCTAGATGGTTGTTCCTATTTTACAACTAAATTGTTCCTAATTATTAATATGATTTAATTTATGATAATATTTAATTAAAATTTTATTCTTTGGGCTTTAAAATTATACAAAAAATCAATATATAAAGTCTTCATATATTCCGACTAAGCTTCATGTAGTAATTGTACTTCTTTGTAATTCAGACTTTGGTGAATTATTTTGATTTATTTGTATACATAATACTTATTACTAATGAGGAATTTTGTTTAATAAACATTATTTTATATTTTTTTAAAAAAAAGTTACTCGGTCGAATCGACGAGGAAAAGTGGTTCCTAAAGAAATCTTACTTATGAAAGCTTGGTGGCGACAAACAGAGCGGAAGTATTAAATAAAATAATAATAATAAAAAAAAAACATTATACACTTTTCGTCAGCAATTTTACGAACAACAACCATTCAGGATTAAGCCATCTCTTTGATTTTAAAGTTAATTACTGTCGTTGGCTAGCTTTTCATTATTGATTAGTTTCTGGAGAATAAAATCATTTAATTGAGCATTTGCTTTTATAATTTTTACAGTTAATAATAATTTCCAATTTGTACACTCATATAATTTTAATTCTAATCAAATATTTATCACTAGTTTTTCAAAAAATGTTTGAATATATACCATTTATACATATTGAATTTCCTTTAATCATATATTTGTTTTTAAAGTTATTTATAGTCGTTGGCTACCTTTTAATTATTGATTCGTTTTTAGAAAATGAAAACCATTTACTTTATTTGAAATTAAGTGGATTTTTGTGCCATTTATTTAACCACAGCTATACAAGTATTAATCCATTACTATATGTTGCTGTGCATATAATTTTCAATAGTAATTTTCAATTTGGTCATTTATATTATTTTAATTCTAATTCTTCGACCTTAGATATAAAACCGCAAAGTGTACGTGGTTTAATTATAGCAATAAACATCACAGACGTCACTCTAACATGGTTAGCAGTTGGCTTTGCGCTTTTTAAAGTGCCTCTAAAAAGATATTAATTAAATTTAATGCCTGTCTAGAAAATTCCCAGGCCAGCAGCGGTGATGCAAATAAGCGCTACGAAAACTTTTTCTTGCCCGTATTACATTACGCCTTTAATTTCATTATAGCGGACGGCAAAGCGAGCGACAGCGACTACAACAACAACAACAATAATAACAACAGCAGCAGTACAAATGAAGGGGACCTTGGGCGGAAAATTTTGCCGGCATTGCACAGTAGCCCATAAAATAGGAGAAAACACTTGTAAAATCAGCCAGCGAGCCAAAGCTCATATTCCATGGCACCCCTGCTGTTGGTGGCCATTGTGCTCGGGAAGGGGGGGCGGCGGGTTGATGCGTTAGAGTTTATTATTTAATACTTCCAGCGTCGTGCGTAGAAATTAGTAGCCATAAATCAATGAAACGACTCCGGCAACTCTACAATTAGCTGCCGTCGAGTGAAATTATGAGACTGCCCGAGTATGGTAATTAATTTTTATTGTAGTATGCCATAGAGATGCTCAGGACTCTATAGCTCTCTCAAAGCCTTGTTAAATATCACATCTGCTAGTGCTGCAAGCATCTCCTCCATCTCAAGAGCTAAGGCTTAGTTGGGGGCACTTCAGTCTGCTGCACATTCATCATCACATGCCGAATGGCGTTCAGCAGTGGATAGTAGCGGTACACACTCCATTGCACATTGGATTCAGCCTGCTCCAGCAACGCGCTATCTTTTATGGTCGACAGTTTATGAACTTTCAAAAATCCTCTGAAAAACTGCAATTCCTCGGGCGTGGCTATGTACGACGAAAGGGCCTGAAAGAAGTCCAGCAGACCTTCGGGACCATAACTGGTATTTAATAATTAATAGAGAAGAATAAAATGTAAGATAATAAAAATAAATATTTTAATACAAATTTAAATAATAATTATGATGAAACCAACACTCAAATGAGATCACAAATGTGGACAACAAAAATTCAAGCAATCTTTAAAAAACATAAACAAAAAGTAAGCACAATTCTGCCCCAGCTTTTGAAACACAATTAATTAACTACCACCTTAGCCAGACCCACCAAAAAAAAAGCAGCAGTTATTTATAATATTGGACAAACCTAGCAACTTTTAAAAATCCTTAAACAAAATAGACCTATAAAAACAGTAACCAAAAAACTTAAAATTATTTATTTATAAACAATAAAAGAAGGTTTACAGAAAACACATCTTAAAGAGTGTTCAACATCGGTACAACACAGCAATGCAGTAACTAGAATATAGAAAGAATCCACAACTACAATATAAAGCCTCCTTGTCGAAAAAAAAAAGAAAAACTAACAAGAAACACTGCTGAAAATATAAAAAAAGAAGATATAATATCCACAACTACCGGAATAACAAAAAATCAACTCTTCACACTACCATTTCAACAGAACAATCAACGGAATAAAATATTAAACTAAAAAGGTTAACATTTGCTTGCTTAAGGCAAATGTCATTTCTATATTTAATTGAAAAAAAAGGAAAAAACTGTTTTAGAATATATAAAAATAACAGAGAAATAGCAACCCAGAAATATTTAACGAGCCATAGATGACATCATACTAACTAATGTTTTAAAAGAATGGGAATAATTTAAAGAAATTTACAGCCCACACCATAACCAAATATACCTAATTCTGTTTTTACACGGCAGATTGGTTCCATAAACAACCGTGCTCAAAAAGACATTAATCATATGCAAAAATAGTTGATTGGTTCCTTATCGCTAAAGAAATACTATATATATGCAATCTTAATTTTCAAAATCAAAAATCGTGTAAAAACAGAATTAGGTGTAATTAATTTCAGATAGTTTCTTATACAGCAATAACAGAATTAAACTAAGTACAACAAAGTTAAACAAAAGCTACAAACTATGGACTGTCCATAAAATATCAAATGGGCCAACAAATATTAATTTCTGATCTGCTTTAAACCCTAGACGAAGAAAGAAGTTAAACGAAAGCTACGAACTGTGAATGGTTTGTAAAAATATGAAATGGACCAACAAATATTGATTATTGGTCGGCTTTATAGGCTGACATTCCCTTAAAAAAATCTTTTTAGTTGTTGCACTACTCCAATGATCCGACCTCAACAAACTGTACTTTTTGAATAATTAATTTCAGAGCAGCTTTTCAATCCCAAAACGAAACTTTTCCCTTATCCAACTAGTTGTTGCTTCAAGATTAATTTTGATCACTTACAGTCTCCTAATTGCGTCCATATTATTAATCAAATGATACTTGGCCAAGCCATAACCATTCGGATTTTTTAAAACAGCCTTGTAGAGAGACAGTGCCGTTTCTTGTTGCATCATACGTTTTTTCAGAGTCCAACGCAACAATTTGCCGAGCGCCCAGTTCTCAGGGCTGCAAGCCATGCCGTTGAGCAGCAATCTCAGTTCCTGCTCTGTTCCCAACGATTTAATCATGTCTCGTAGTTGCAACCATTTCGACTCCATGCCATGGCGTACGACCGTGCAGTAGACGACCTCACGTACTGCCAGGGGTATTTCAGTTTCGGACATTTCATGAAAACGTTTCCGGGCCTCATGGACACATTCGGGCACCTCATAGGTACACGCCAAATTATAGATGACGGCCTTGACCGCCGATTCTTCAGAAAGAGTTGTGGGATCCACATAATCCTGAAATTGTGGCTCGAGAATATAACGCATATAGCTCTACAAACATATCGAGACGAGAGAAAGTGACGACACAAATTAGCTTCAGAAAAGTGGAAATTCAATAGAACATTTATTTCTTTTGGATTAATGAGCAGTATTCGGTGATGCAGGTGGAATGAAAAGTTATGAAATGCTGTTCATGACTTCCTCACCCTGAAAATCCGATATCCTGTCGTTAGATGCATGATACTATGTATCCGATTAATTTCAACCAAGAACGTTCTCCATACTATATAGCTCGACTCCTGCTGCAGATACCTTACTAGTCCTAGCGCTATTTCATAGCTCAGCTCTCCAATCCAGGCAAAGTTGAGTGCGTCGTCCACCAGTTTTGCACGATTCGGAACTGGTATTTCATTATAATGTTGTGAGGTGAGATGTTCGCTGATCAGCTCCCAGTTCCGAACATCGTAGAGTACACGATACAGTTGTGTAGAGTGTAAGTTAAGTATTATCCAATCGTTGGACTCTCCAACATCCTCTAGATTAACGGTATCCACTTCGCAGCCAAGCCATTCAGTTGCAGTGGTGCTATTAAAATTTAAATCCTTTTTCGTAGTGAACGAGATGGGTATCCACCAGCAGGATCCGTTCTTATCCTGTGACTGCAGCATTCGATATGGTCGTTGTGTGAGACTCACAGTCTTATTGTCCTCATTCGAGTACACCTGCACCAGGGGATATCCTGGCTGTTGCAGCCAAGAGTTCATCACCAGTTCAACAGTAAGAGCCATGGGCATGGCATGACTACGTTTGGCGCTCTTCTGCAATATCCGTAAAAACTCTTCGGCATTGCCAACTCTATTCGCAAAAGTCTTCCAGTAGTTCCGCAAGCCATATCGAAAGGGCGTAGTACCAATGGCCGACATCAGCATGTGCATGAGGCAGCACATCTTTTGGGACATGTGCCAGGTTTGTTTCGCTGTGGGTGGCTCCAGTTGTGGGGCATCAATGGGCCGTGTCTGGATGAGTCCATCCCATTGGAGCACTTCCATATGATCGTTTAACAGTCGCCATTTAAGCAGTTCCCATTCAGGCATTACCTCTGATATCATCTCATGACCCAGAAAGTGTACGAGACCATCGCGTAACCACAGCTGTTGCCAATTATCAATTCCGGCCAAGTTACCATGCCATTGAAGTATTAACTGCCTGGCCACGAGCTCTGTTAATTGCTGCTCCGTTGTTGCCGTTCCTTCCTCTTGCGGCAAAATGTTTTCTCCGCTAATGTACAGACCCCAATTGGCACGTGGCGGGCCCAAATAGTTCGGCAAGACAAGGCGATCTATTTTTGTAATATTATTCCGGGGATAAGGCATGCCAGCAAGTTTCTCACACGTCATCAGTAAGCCCATCGAGCTTACCGGAAGAAAGGCAATTTGTTCCCGTATATCCCCCAGCGCAAACATCTGAATATCAATGTCATTCTCGCTGCGAGGCGAGCTCTGAAGCTCATGCAGGCTCCAGGATAGCATGTGTATGGATAAAGGCAAGGACTCTTCAAAAACAGTCCAAAAGAAGTCCGTTCTCTTGACGCTTTAAAAAAAAATTAAGTGCAGATACACACATCTGCGAATTAATTTGAAAAATGTGCTAAATATAAAGATAACTTATTTTTTTGTGTAAAATGTTTACGTTCTTAGAGCGAAAGTTGTATAATATTAACAGTGTTTCACAATTGATCGAAAGACCGAGAAAAAATTGTTACCCAGATTCCTACTAAGTCGTGGTAATTCGAAAAGTAGGCAATAGTATAGTTTTAGATCATTTTATATGCCCAAGAAGCTGTTCCAAATCTGTTGGAAATGGGCTTAGCTCTGGCTCGCTTAGCTCGAATCGGCTCGATAGTTTGTAGAAAACGTAAAAACGGTGGGAGTTTTCCTTTCCTCTAATATTGATGAATTTTTACCCTCAAAGTATAGATGCAACATAAAATACAATTTTTTTTAAAGCGCATAGATTTTTCATTAACATTTAAAAATAGATTTTCATTAATAATATAAGCAGCAGTCAGTTAGTTTTAATTTAAAATCGCAAATAGTTTCCGGGAATTCTGATGGGAAGTTGTTTTTGAGAGCACTTTTTTTGCAGACTTTTCATTAACAATTAAGACGATTTTCAATCATTTCTAAAGAGCTGAATCACCAATATAGTAGCAGTCAGTTTTAATTTAAAATCGCAAATAGTTTCCGGGAATTCTGATGGAAAGCTCGTCCCATCCCGATGAAAATAAATATAGAATGCGAGCAGTTTATAAAACGGAAAAACTAAGTAAATTAAAACTGTTGTTTATTTTCAGTTACTATACCATGTATAGTATATTAGAAAGAACAACGAAGCTATAAAAAATTGAGATAGGAAAATAGCGAAGAGAAGAAAAATAATAACCCTTAATTTTTATAAAAGTGTTCTGATGCCAATCTGAATTGTTATCTAAGAGAGTAATCTACTCACTCACTGGCGTTTCTTCTCCTTAACCGGCATATTGCTTACGGCCGTGTAGTTCTTATGATGACCCAGCATAAGACTAAAATTCGCCTTATAGTATACATCGTCGAAGCAAGGGAAAACAGTCCGTGCATTTGTCGGCTCCATTTGCGTTACGGCGTACCAATGATTCACATCGTTTTCAAGATATTTTACCCTGAAATAACCGTTGTTCTGCTTTTTTGTTAGCCTAGCACTAAAATTTAACGACAAGGTGTACATTTCATGTTTTCTTAGCACATTATTGAACTTGATGGTGAATTTGTCGTTCTGAATGTCCCATGAGGTGCTGTTCACGGATATGCGACGACGGCTTTGATGACGAAACAAATGGATTTTGGTATCAATGGTCAGGTTTTTAGCGTGCAGTGTTAAGTAACGTCTGCCTTCATTAATGATGGTAAGGTTTATTTCTACTGAGCCCTCAAATCGCCTACCCGTAGGGCCCAGTTCGGTCAATATGCTCAGATTATAGTAGACGGGAATTGCTGTCTCAGTCCGATTTTTATCACTTTGGCAAATGGTGCTACTAACGAACAAAAACAGAAAAACCAGTATTTGAATGACGTACATTTCCTTGCGAGATATGAGAACTATGAAGTAGAACTGTCTTTCACAAATTGTGCGCTCTGGACTATGAAATTCTAATTCTATGGAGCGTGCCAAAACAATAAACAGTTGCTAATTGTAGAAAAGTGTGACATTAGTTGAGAATTTAGAATTAGAACTAAGAAATTATGAGATTATTTTGATTGAGCAGCTCAAGAGAAAGCATTAACATTGTTGCAGGTTCTTGAAAGGGAAGCTAAAGCGGTATTTTGACAGCGAGGGATAATTTAAGTGTAATAGAGAGTCAATTCATTAGAAAAGCAATTGCTATTACATATTTATTTACTACAAATCAAATTATTGCATGACTATTATTTCTAGATACACCTCTGTAGAGAACATCTTGTATTCCTTTCTATCCTCCTGAAAGTTGTGTTATTAAGCAGTTCGTATTGATTGTTATAGCTTAAGATCCTTGTAGTCATAGTTCTTTAAACCCTGTTAGCTGTAAGTTTTTAACTTTAAACTAGCATTAAATAAATAAATAAATAAATAAATAAATAAAAAAAATATATATATATATAAATAAATAAATAAATAAATAAATAAGCAGTTCGTTTAAAAAATTTATATTCTTCGCCTTCAGCTTACAATATTTTAAAATGCTGATGTTTTCTCGCCTAGAATGCCTACAGATTGTACCTAAATATCGAAAATGATATGTTTACTAGTCCATCCATTCATTTGAACATCTAGATCTTTCTTTCTAGATCTTACTTATCCTGCAGAATAATTAGTTTGTTTACTAAGTTTCTATTACCTATTTTGTAATTATTTGTTTATACATTATGATTACAATTAGTGAATAAATCAGAAAGAGTTTATAGATTATTGAAATTATTTTTATTATTGCTCATTGATAGTAATTTTTGGTATGAAATTAATTAAATCAAATTAATGTACCAATTATTTTATAAATGCAATAACTGTATTTTGAAATAGGCCTGCGAAAAAAAAGCAAATGTGTGGTAGAAAAAATAGTTTGGCTGTCTGGACGCCTACATTTTAAAACTATATCACAAAAGTTAGTTAAAGCGGCTTGTTTTACAGCTCCTCTAATCACGTGCAAGACTCTTAAATTTGGGGAAAAGAAATTCATTGGCAACACGCGCTCATGAACTCTCCATAATTCACACGTTCTGCGCATTACATAAACAATGTGTCCGACATTGCTTTTTGTTTACAATTCATAAGCAATTTGCGAGTGCAAACAATGTCCTTGGGTCCTTGGCACAGACTCATAAGTATGGAACATACGAAGGGACCCATACACGGATTTTTAATTATTTCGCTGCATTGCTCACCTAAATAAACAGGCTACCAACTGTTTTTCGGCACTTAGGCCCACAGCTAGGCCCAAAGTGGCGGAGAGCCTCTCACAGCAACTGCCGGCTGTTGTTGTTATTATTATTATTTTTTACGGTTAATTGCAAATTTGCGCGCATTTGGTTTCGTCGTCAGCGTTCAACTACTATAACATTTCTTAGCGTCGCTGTGGACCGTTGCAAAAAAAAAAAATAAAGAATAAAAACCTCAAATCTCATTTAAGTGGCACAGTTGTCGCCGTTGCTTCTTATTGTTGTTTGTTCCTCTCTCCCTCTGAGTCTTGTTGTGTAATTGTTGTACGTGATTTCTTTCTTTTCGCTCTGCTATTATTTTTATAGTACTACTTTCGCTTTCAGCGGAATAGCATTTTTTCACATTTTATGTTAATTTTTTCCTCTTTTGTGATGTTGTGCTGGTCAAGCAGGTTTAAATTTTGGCTGCGCTTGATTTCTTTTTGTAAATTTCTGGCTGGTTTTTTTTGCATTTTAACACTGTTATTGCAGCTGCTTTCGGAGGTGTCGTAAAATGAAAATTCATAAATATTTAGCGCACGTTTTATTAGCTGCGTGATGCTACTGGCATTTCACAACCAACCAACCAGCCTTGGCCCTCGGCGTTTTGGTTTTTCTTTTTTTATTATTATTAATGTTGAATGTGTGGAGAATTTTCCATTTCTTTTTATTTGTTTAACCTTTGAATGTTTTTTTTTCTTTTCCAAAGATTATTGCTTTTATAAATTTATGTGTTCATTAAAGCTTTTAATAACCTCGAACTGGCTTATTGCGTTCAGTTCGTGGCGTAAACTGGAAGAATTAAAGCCTGTTTATCCAAATATTTTCATAAAGAAAAATGATATCATTTTTTCAACGCTTTAATTAAAATGTATTTCAGGAAATTCTTAGAAACATTTTAATGAACACAGAAATGCAATACCATTTCCATGTTGTTTATCATAAGCCGTGTTTTTGGCTTTTATATATTATATTGTATGAGCTTTATTTAAAAGCACATGAGATAAAAAAACAATTGGGAATTAAATGGAAGTGATAAAAATGTCGTTTAAATTAAGTTTAAGACATGCATTACATATTAATAATTGAAATATTTCCATATTTCCCTAAGACAGTCAACATTTAGTTATGTGTATTGAAATAGTCTTATTATTAAGGGTTTCATAGTCGTTTTTTCCTTTAATATTTAATAACATACTTAATATAAAATTTACGCTAGCACATGTGTCATTCATATCTTAGATTTAAAAATATTTTATTAAACTGTTCTTTATTCTATTAAGCTAGCTTTAGGCATTTTTTTTTTTAGTTTTTTGGCAAATTTGCTCTAAAATAAATAAATTAGTATGATCATGGCAAGCTTATACAATTTCTTTATTTAAAAGCGAACTCAAAAAGAGACTGGTTTTAATGATATATTCCCAACTTATTATTACCTTATTTCTGCCAAAGAACTGCCAATTTAAAAACACGTAAACATACAATAATATAAATATAAATAATAAATATTCATACAAATATAAAAAAAGAAATATAAAAACAATGAAAAATTAAAAGAATAGAAAATTAAAATGAGCAAATTTTAAGATATTTTAAATTCATATTTAAATATTTGAAATATTTTACTGGATCCAATGAAACTGACAGAAATTCCTGGTAATTGTTACAAAGAACCCAAAACGAATGCTGCAAAGCATAGTTAGTTGTACAGCTATGCTTTAACTAACTTTTAATCAGTTTGTTCTATAGACCACACAGAGATTGTGTTATTTCTGTTTTCCTATTGGAATTTACGCGCAGATAGTTTGGTCGCATATGCAGCAGCTTGCAGGCTTAAAACTCTTTCAAAACATTCTGAGCATGCAACGCAGTTCTAAAGCCAAACTAATGCACTCAAAACAAGTCACGTTTTCGACCCAAAAAGCTGCGGTTCGCTTGATACATACAAACGGGCTACATAGGCTGAGGCCATCCATGCACAGAACGTTATGGCAACATAATTGTGTTGCATAATTTTCACACGCTCCCCGAGAAAGGGCGACACATAAATACGCCCAGAAATATGCAGCAATATTTTTGCAGCTGCAACACACAATTCGCACTACTTTTCTCATTACAAATTGGATTTTGCAGTCACATTCTGCTTATTACGTTCGAAAAGAGGAGCAGAAAAAAGAAATCTATGTAAATTTGCCTGCACGCTCATTCGCGCTATCTGCTCAGCGCACCCCCCCCCCCCACACTTTTTGTATTTTCTTTCACAATATTTCTTCTCCTTTTTTTTGCCGCACATTTGCCACAGCATACTTTTGTGCGCTTGCGGTATCGTGCTGCACGTACTGCGGCGGCATTTTGTTTGCATCTTATTATTATTATTATTATTGCTGCCACTGCACAAATACTACCATAAGAACAACAATAGTTGTTGCACACTCACACACACACACACACACACACACACACAGCTGCCGACTGCCAAGTTTATTGTGAAAATATAATTCAGTGTAGTTTTCCTTTTATGCAAGTACGAGTATGTGTCTCCGAGCCTTGCCTCACACTTGGTGTGTTCGTTGGTATGTGTCTGTTCAAATTAGCTGTGCAACGTGATAATAAAATTGTATATAATTCGCTCAAAGAAGTTTATTGTCTGCAAATGCGCAGATTATACAATCACAGACATAATGTTCCAGAAGTCTTCATTTTAGCTATTGCACGTGAAGGGAATGCGTCACTTGCTCGTAGCGATGCGGAATTCGTACTTAGCAGATAGGTATATGATAGAACACTTATCGCGCCCGACACTCGACTTAACCCTTAAGCTTGGCATTGAAATTAGAACAGTTTGCATCAGTGACTTACATGGAAAGTATGGAGAGTACAACAAATCTTTTTAGTTTACATAAAAGCTGCACATAAGGCAGGACTTTCAAAAAATATTGTATAAACGATCTATTACTTTCAAAGGTCAATCAATAATTAAGCGATAAGTATCAACATTAGGATAGTCTTAATTAATTGTTTCAAGAACAAAATATATCTGTTTTGAATGAGAAATAATATAAAACAAAAATTAAAATACTTTAAAAAATCCTAAGAATAAAGGCTAAAGAAACCCTACCTTTAGGGTTTGTTAAAGTTATGATTTATTATCTTTTTTGTCTGTAATTAAAATCGGTTTAAGTTTATTTATTTACTTATTTATTTGTTTATTTATTAGGTTTTTATGTCAACAAACATTGACTTTCGCCATAAGGAAACAACATAAAAGTTATAAAAAAAAGCTAGCAAAGCCTAAATAGGAGAAATCTAATAAAATTTCAATAATATCTAACATTATTTGCCTTTCGGTTGGCTATGCCCCGACTCACAGCCAAATGTCAACAGATCTACCAAATGAAACGACAAACTTAACAAAGAAAGGACTTCGTTAAAATCTACATTTAAAAAATTTGCAAAAAAAATAATTATATATTTTAAATATACATAAAATAGAAATAAAATAAATTGTAATTTTCTAAATTGAAGAAAATGCCACCCACTCTTCTGCTGCTTGTCATAATGTCGCGTTGAATGACCTCTCGTATTTGCACATCCTCTTCAGTCTACTCCTGTATTCAACAAATTAAT